GAGACACTCAAACAGCGCAAACTTTTCACAGATGCAAAGAGTAGGCCAAAAAACATGTGTACTGAAGATTTCAGATTTTTCTGCAGCGTTCCCGATTTTTGGTGACCTAACTTAAAATGGTCAAAGTTTGCATGGCCTCAGTTTTCCATTTTTATCTCTGCACTCATGCCATACAGAAGCTCCTCGAAATAGCGCTTGAAAGCGGAAGACCTATTCTTTCTAATAAAATTACATGCAAGCAAATTCGTTGAAATTTGGCGAAGTTACAAATTTTTGAAAATAAAACGACAGAACTTTTGCACCCACCTAATATATATATATATTAGGTTGTCCTAAAAGTTCTTGCGCCGTATTTTCAAAAAATCATATCTTCCTTGCCACTCGATGGATTTTCTTGATTTTAATTTCTTTTGAAAGAGGAAACATTTCTCTTTACCAGAGTACCTTTGTTGTGAAGAGGCATCAGGAAGTTCCAAAGCTAAGAGCAATTGAATAAAATCAGTCAAGATCGGCATTTTTCAAGCTGGATCACGAAAAATTCCGAAAGTATTTTTATTTGAAAGAGAAAATTTTGCCACTACAGTGGTGCCTTTTTCACGAACTAAAACGAAGTAGATCGAGAGTTAGAAGCAAGTAAAGAGAATATTTTCGGTTTTGCAATTTTTGAGCATGATCAAAAATTGCAAAACTAAAGAAATTCTCGTTATTTCCTTCTAACTCTCGATCTACTTCGTTTTAATTCATGAAAAAGATACCACTGTAATGCGCAAAATTTTCTCTATCAAATAAAAATACTTCCAGAATTTTTCGTGATCCAGCTTGAAAAATGTCGATCTTGACTAATTTCCTTCAATTGCTTCTAACTCTCGAACTTACCAACGCTGATTTATGGCAAAGGCACAGCTTTGAAGAAAAAGGTTTCCTCTTTCACATGAAAATAACTTTGAGAAAAATCGTTGAGAAGAAAGGAAGTTATGATTTTTTGCAAATCCGGCGCAAGAACTTTTAGGACAACCTAATATATATATATATATATTAGGTTGATGCAAAAATAATGAGCGTTTTTATTTGCTTGCTTTAACAAAGCAACCAGTCTCAACCCAGCAAAGGATAAGGGGTACTGTTCGATAGAGCAAAGCAAGCTCTACAAGATGACACTCATGTCTTTGCGCCATGCTCGATCCACGGAGAGTACGAACTCAAAATCTAAAGATTTCCAAATGCCCAAAAAATCGAAAAAAATCAGATCTTCGTCCAAATAATTTCTACGGACCTCCCACTCGCTCACATCAATACTATCGATACCTGATATCCATATGTGCGATTGCCGTATTTTTTCCTTGACTAGAAACTGAGAAAACGAAAACTTCCCTGATTTTCTCAAAGCAATGCTGAGCTGTTTTTGCATATATAGTTCTATACTACAAGCCTAGGTAAGCATAACTGTAGATTTTCAGCCCATTCCAAGCGACAGTTTTCGAAAAATAACGAATTCGAATTTTTTCATTTCAGTTTCAGTGCTAAAATCGGCATTTCTCGAAAAGTACTGTTCGAATTAGGCTGAAAATTTACAGTTATGCTTACCTATTCTTGTAGTATAGAACTACATGTGCAAAAACGGCTCAGCATTGCTTTGAGAAAATCAGAAAATTTTCGTTTTCTCAGTTTCTAGTCAAGGAAAAAATACGGCAATCGCACATATGGATATCAGATATCGATAGTATTGATGTGAGCGAGTGGGAGGTCCGTAGAAATTATTTGGACGAAGATCTGATTTTTTTCGATTTTTTGGGCATTTGTAAATCTTTAGATTTTGAGTTCGAACTCTCGGTGGATCGAGCATGGCGCAAAGACATGAGTGTCATCTCGTAGAGCTTGCTTTGCTCTATCGAACAGTACCCCTTATCCTTTGTTGGGTTGAGACTGGTTGCTTTGTTAAAGCAAGCAAATAAAAACGCTCATTATTTTTGCATCAACCTAATATATATATATATATATATATATATATATATATACAGGGTGTCCCAAAAAAATGTATCGAACGTTTGATCGTTAATATCTCGCTTCCCAAGAAGTCTTTTGCCTTGCTTCAGGTACCATTTTGTAGAGCTGGCTTCAACTTAGGTTTGCATTATGGAACGAATCACCCATCATCAGAGGTGCGATAGGGGGAGCCAAGTCTCCCCCTACCTTCACTTTTGAGCTGGTACGGGGTGACCACCTTCACTTTTGGAATAAAAAATTTTTCGCTGGACGACAAAGAAGGAAAATAAGCAAAACAAACGCAAAAAAGATTATTGAAAGCATATATTTATGTATACGGCGGCATATATATTTAAAATAAAGGTTTTTAGTAAATGGTGTATTTGGAAGTAAAGCTTAGCAAAACTGTACGGATTTTATTAAGCAAATTATGTTATAACGTATAGCGAAGGAAGTAGGTCGATCCAGGCAGTAACGGCCGAGAACCAGAATTTTGAATATTTGAAAAGTGAAAAATCATGCGAAATTTCCACTGTTATAAATCTGTTGTTTGAAGATGTCAGCAGTTGCGACTTCATAGGTTTTGAAGAGTAAATGTTGCTCTATCAGCTAGTGAAAGAATCGGGTCGATTTAAGAGATAGTCGTTGAAAACCAGAGTCCTAAAACTTTACGCCATTTTTGCGTGTTTTTTGACTTTTGAGAGTTAAACTCTTATAAATCTTGAATGTGAAAGTGTGTGATGTTGCGACTTCATAGGTTTTATAGAGTAAGGTTTGCCTTATCAGAATATGTCTTGTCCGTTCCGATCCATTGAAACACCTCCGAGATCCAGGCTCTTGAAAAAGCAGGTAAAAAACAGCTTTTTGTACTTCAACAGCTCGTAACTTCTTCAGAACTGCATGAATCATGTTGCGACTTCATAGGTTAGATTCTTCTCATCAAGAGCTTTCAGATGATATATAATATGTGGGGGTTTAGAGCCTCCTACGAATTATGCCCGGGGGGGGAGACTTTTTAGGCCAAAGTCTCCCCCTCGCCCATCCAGCCAATACATTAAAATGGGCGAGGGGGAGACTTTGGCCTGAAAAGTCTCCCCCCCCCGGGCATAATTCGTAGGAGGCTCTAAACCCCCACATATTATATATCATCTGAAAGCTCTTGATGAGAAGAATCTAACCTATGAAGTCGCAACATGATTCATGCAGTTCTGAAGAAGTTACGAGCTGTTGAAGTTCAAAAAGCTGTTTTTTACCTGCTTTTTCAAGAGCCTGGATCTCGGAGGTGTTTCAATGGATCGGAACGGACAAGACATATTCTGATAAGGCAAACCTTACTCTATAAAACCTATGAAGTCGCAACATCACACACTTTCACATTCAAGATTTATAAGAGTTTAACTCTCAAAAGTCAAAAAACACGCAAAAATGGCGTAAAGTTTTAGGACTCTGGTTTTCAACGACTATCTCTTAAATCGACCCGATTCTTTCACTAGCTGATAGAGCAACATTTACTCTTCAAAACCTATGAAGTCGCAACTGCTGACATCTTCAAGCAACAGATTTATAACAGTGGAAATTTCGCATGATTTTTCACTTTTCAAATATTCAAAATTCTGGTTCTCGGCCGTTACTGCCTGGATCGACCTACTTCCTTCGCTATACGTTATAACATAATTTGCTTAATAAAATCCGTACAGTCCAACAAACTTTTACTTCCAAATACCCCATTTACTAAACACGTCTATTTTAAATTTTTATAAATAAAATTTATAAATATTTTTAATATTCATCGTATCTGTGGCCCTAAAGAGGGCAGTTGGGTCACAGTTCGACCTATAAAGATAGCTCTGTTCGTCCGTTCTCCCCCCCCCCCCCCCCGGTCGACGGTTTTGGGAGGTGAGTGTCCGGCACTACCACCTTCACTTTTGGCAGCCAGGGGTAGCAGGGACCACCTTCACTTTTGGGGGACCCGGCTCCCCCTATCGCACCTCTGCCCATCATTCTTCATTACTGTAGGATTACGGTAGAAACTTGAAGCATATGGTGTCAATGTGGAAAAAGCTGCCGTTTCAAAATTTTTCAAAAAAATGTGAAAACTTGTGTATTGGGGTTTTTATGGACGCTGAGTTCAATACTCAACTATTCACAAGATTACGAAGCTTTCTAAACGGTGTAACCGCACTTTTTAGGAACATTGAAAAATGGCCGCTGCCTCTTACCTGGCATAACTCTTCAATGAAGCATCATAATAAATTGGGAACTTTACATTTATAATCAGCAACTCTAATTAGCCTAGTGTAAAAGTTTTCAGGCTGTTTTGTTTCCTTTCTGGGGCAAAATATGGCCTTTCATTGCTTAAAATCCTCTTTGAAGTTTCCACCGTAATCCTACAGTAATGAAGAGAGATGTGTCATTCGTTTTATAATGCAAATCTAAGTTGAAGCCAGCTCTATAGACTGGTACCTGAAGCAAGGGAAAAGACTTCTTGGAAAAGGATATATTAACGATCAAACGTTTGATACATTTTTTTGGGACACCCTGTATATATATATTAGGTTGAACCGAAAGTTCTATCGCACCATTTTCAAAAAATCATAACTTCTTTCGGTCACGACGATTTTGCGCAATTCAATTTTCTTTGAAAGCGTAAAGCATGTAGTTTCCAAAAGCTCCCTAGTGAGTTTCCGACATGCTCAGCTGGCAGAGATAAAAATGAAAGAACGAGATCATCCGAAATTCGGAATTTTTAAGCAAAAATTCTAGAAATTCAGAAACAGTGCGATAAAATCCAGAAAAGCCATTATCCTAATTTTTCTTACATTTGATTACTATTTGAGTCAGGTTTGTACTGATCGAGCTCATCTTTCAAAAGTTATGATTTTTTGAAAAATAATCGAAAAATCAATTTCTTAGGAATCCTTAAGAAATAAATTTTTTGGCATTTTTATTCAAAAATTCATAACTTCTGAAAGAAGACCTCGATCAGCACAAACTTGACTCAGTTAGTCCTAATCTAAGGATAGTGCTTGATTTCGAGAGAGCGTCCATCAATGCAGCCAAGAAAGTATTCAGAGGCGCTTCAATAGAGGGATGCGGGTTCCGCTTAGCAATGGCGTGGAACAGGAAGAAAGACCTGATAGGCCTGCGAAAGTATTTGATAGGTGGGACCATATGAACTTTGAGTGTGATAGGACTAACTGCCCATTACAGGAGAAGACCGTGACCAAAGGGTTATCAAATGGTGGAACACCGTGAATGGGGCGATATTCTTACCCAAGCATTTGCACAGGAGACTACCTGCCCTCCATAGGCCCAGTATGTTAGAAACGCATGATGCTTACTCCATGTGCCGCGAATTTCTCGACTATCTCAAGTCTACATGGTATGAAGGGCCCTTCAAGGACATGTGGAATAAGTGGCAGGTAGCAGACACCCGGACCACTAATGCCGCGGAAGCCTTCCACAGGTAACACCAACTAATAAAGACATAACAAGAACAACAACAAGAAATTTAGGCTTCTCGGGACTCTCCTGCAAGGTAAGTATCCCCCATGGCGAAATTGCTGAGACGTTTGCAGAGTTGTAACACGGACGCGAGAGCCGACTTCTTATTTATGGAAAGGGTAAGCCTCACTTCATCTGATATATCAACAATCCCCTAAAGAATATCGGATTTCAGAACAGGGCCGCAGGCAGGAAGCTCAGAAGAAGGGATATCAGGCGACGCACGAGGATACTACGAGTCATGAATGCTTATAGCGAAGAACTTAATCGCCCCAGTGTAGGAGCCCATACATTAGGAATGTATTGTAGAATCATGTCTAGATTCGTAACAAGTAGATCGCACTAAATGTAAATACCCCTTTTCTATCCCTTTTTTAATTGCATGTGTTATTGTGTTTTTAATAAATATGTCACAAACCCAAACGAACATGAGAGGGGAAAGGGCAACAAACATAAAACAAACCAAAAACATGTATAAAGAAAAAGTGATAAGAATGAAATGAAATTACAAACAAAGAACAAAAACAAAAGCAAAATACAAATAAAATTCCGTTTCGTTCCTACCCTTAGACGGAAGAGTTACAATAGAGTTTGGATAGAGCCCTCCCCGGAACTCATCAGTAAGGAGGGAGGGCTATTGGTAAGAACGAACATAAGTAAATGAAAAATGCAAGTAAATAAATGTTACATGCAAGCATTACAACAAAGAAACAAACCTGACAACAGATCCTTTGTTGTTGATCGCAGGCCTTCGCTGATTTTGTTGTGCCATGGCCTTCCTCGCACAAGACATCGATTGCCTAGAAATAGCACGTTAGTGCAATCGAAAACAGAACAAAGAAGAATCGCGGGAAATACAAGGATTTACGAAAAGAGAATGATAAAAGCACATAAATAGTAATGAAAGCAAGTTAAATGAAACACTATAGCACAACAATAACCAAGAAAAAGTAGAAAAAACAGAGATGATGAGATAAATGATAAATTATCATTTTGCTGCGGCGGTGACTCATCGATTGATAAGGAGATTCAAATCTTGCCGCCGAACGACTACGCTCGCCTCCGTATGCGCGTCGCGGCCTCCACGGCAGGGGGCGTGGCCTAATGCGGCGCGTATACGGTAGCGCGCCCCCGGCTTCGAAGAATTAATGTCCGCAACATTGTGACGCGGTCATTTTTGGACTTTTTTAAGGGAAAGATTTTTAAAGTTTTTATTATAAACATTTCCCAGAAAGCGCAATGTGTGGTTGTGCTTTTGAAGAGCTCTATCGACTCATGCAATCCAATCATTTTTTCATCTTTGTTTTCCATCCGAAAATGAGCGATGAAAAAAGGAGGGCGGCTTGTCCGCAACTTTTTGGCGGTCACTATATATATATACAGACATTGATATGTGATGAATAGTACCATCACTAGACGAGGAGGTGTTTAAGCGACAGTGACTCTGAAAGAATGGGTGGCACTGTCCTACTTCATACAGTCTAGAAATCTATAATCTCAGTTCGGTGAAACTTTACAAGGGAGTAGGGACTTATCTGATGAGTTGGACACGAATATCATGTCAACTTTGCCCGATAAGTTTTTTTCAACTTTGATCTCCCTCGAGTAACACCCTTGTGCGTTGGGCTTATAGCAGCGCTTTTCGTTATCTAGTTGGACACGAATATCATGTCAACTTCGCCCGATAAGTTTCTTTCAACTCTGATATCCCTCGAGTAACACCCTTGTGCGTTGGGCTTATAGCAGCGCTTTTCGTTATCTAGTTGGACACGAATATCATGTCAACTTCGCCCGATAAGTTTCTTTCAACTCTAATATCCCTCGAGTAACACCCTTGTACGTTGGGCTTATAGCAGCGCTTTTCGTTAACTAAGCAAAATCATTCTTTCAACGCGTATCGATGTCAAAGTTGTAAACAGCATGTTGGAGTACCTCCCCTCCTCCTGAAGGAAATCTACCATATATTTTATTTATTTATTTATTCAATACGCACAAGGCGTGCCATATTTGGAACAGAGAGCAAAATACTTAGAGCATGAACAGTAAAAAGAAAATAACAAAACATCCCCAAAAGCTCAAGTCTAGCTCTGTGAGTGGAAGGAGATAAGCCTGTAGACCGTGTATGAATATCAGTGCAGATGCTCGGTGGAGTCGGTCCCATGCCCCCTGCTTGCAGCAAAAGTGCTCTTAGACTATCCAACTTGAGCAATTGTATATGCGGAGAACACGTAAATAATCGCGGGGCAAACGGTCCGCAAACTCGCGTTTCCTTGCAGGCGGTGAGCAGAATTTTGGGGCGTGGCCAAACCTTCAGCGGGTGGTACCTCCTTTACTGTCGAATGTCCTGCTGGCGGGGCAGAATACAGCGTTTTCTGCGGGCGCTCGTCAAATAATCTCTTTCAGCGAGCGCTGGCCAAACTTTCAGCAGGCACTTGGACTCTTTTTGAGCAGTTTCGGGCTTACATCGAGCAAATGTGAGACTCTATGCTGCACGGGTGTCATCGATGGTTCAATTACTCAAATTTGAGGTACTTTTTCTCAGCGGGAAGTACCTGAGGGCTGTGCGGTCCTCCACAAAGGACCGCGCTGCCCTCAATAATTTTGCATATTCTCGCGGAAAGTCCGCGAGAATGCGGCCAATGCGCCGCAATTTCTATAGGAAAACCGCGACAGTCCTCCGAGAATTCATCTGAAAATTGGTCAACATTCCTCCAGATTTCTGCAAGCGGGCCGCAAGAAATCAGCGAACTATTTTTCCGGTGCCCGCTTGCGCAAAATTCGCATGGCCACCTGCCCCCCGCGATTATCTGAGCAGATGTAATTACAAAAATCTGCCCGACTGAGTTCGGGGAAGAGAGCAGAACTCCGAGATAAAAGATTGTGATGCAAAAAAGATTTCAGGTCAGACAAGCTATTCCCAAATAACAACGGAAAGAGTGAACCGGACCCGAACCAGTGTGGATGAAGTAAAAATCGGAACAGCGAGTGATGTGAAGGTCCACCGATCACAAGTTTGGTACTTGAGAAAGCTATCACTGGAAGACTTTCTGCGCGATGAGTGTGAAGTTGACAGAGTTGGTCGATTACATAGTACTGGAGTAGGCCCGCAACACGCGTAGCAGTGGGTGTAGGGAAGGTTCGGCATACGAGCGATGACAAGAAAGTCCTCTGGAAGAAAATTAGTCCAATTCAACTTCTTGGATAAAACCAGTCAAATTTAACTTCTTTCTTCGTTAGAAAGTAAGACTATCCGGAGAAGACAATATTTTTTTTAGGTAAACACTGAAGATGTTCTGATGTGCGTGCGAAAAAAACTGTTTTCTGATAGAAAGTTTAATTGTTTACGCCCACCATTTAGATGTAAATAAACAGGAAACCCGGTGGTCCTTCCATGAGTATCTCCAGCAACCCTTCCCGAAAGGCCCCCTTGTACGAGTAAATATCATCTTCGTTCAGCATGTCAATATTCCCGCGATGCTAGCCTACTACAGCCCTTCGTACTGGAAATGTGAGCGAAGCTCAAGTCCCAAGTCGAAAACGCGCCCCAGTGATAACGACCGTGTCGCAGCATTTAAAGGCACCGTCCACCCTAAGTTGAGTGTGTTGAGCTTTTGGCAGCATATAAGAGTAGAGCCTCCTATCAAGCCAATGCCCAAGTCGCGGCGCAATATGCCGCTTTGGAATAGCGAAGATGCACGAGGATTCCCATCCATGCCCGCCCCTCCCCATCCATGCCCACTTGTGCACGCTCATCCAATCACCGTTCTGGAAAGCCGGCCTGTGGGTTCTCCGGAATGGGGATTGTTGGAGTTTTCGCGGATTCTTGACTTCACATTTGGAATCAGGAACATGAGAAGACATTGAAACGACAAAAACGTAGAAGTCGAGAATCTGGATGGACGGTGCCTTTGAGTTTTCCTCCATTAGAAGCGCCTTTGAACGCTGATTCCGAATCTGCTTTCCTTTTTTGCGGAATAAATTTCAGTTAAAGTAAACTTTCGATTATAGAGGCCAAGGTAGGCCCCAGACTGCGATCGTCCGGATGGAGGAACGAACACCTCAGTTAGGCACTGCCTCCGCGGACCACTAGTCCCAACACGATGCACAACAGTAGGACGAAAGGAAGCAGCCCGCGGAGGATGGAGGAACGAACGCCTCATTGAGGCGTTCGTTCCTCCATCCGGACGATCGTCCTGCTTCAGCAGGACGAGGCGCAATTACTGTCATTTGGTGTCATGTTGTAGGGATATCAAGTCGGCGTGCGCGACTTCCTTACAACAAAATTTATTTTATTGTTATGGCCTTTATCCTACTTTCATTCTGCGGCTTTTTTATCACCTCTCTAAAACCACTGCTCTTTCGAGTATCGCAGACTTTAGATTTCCATCCTACATGATAAAATCCGGTGGGTACTAAGTGATTAGGGGGTAGACGAGTTGTGGAATAGGGTTTATTCGCACGGGCGTAGATTGTTCGAGAAGAGTCCATAATACAGTCGGGGGCTCCTTATATACACGGATACGAGGCGGAGCTTGCCCGGGTAGAAAGTACAACGTAGAAAGGGTACATGGCTTAAAAGGAGTTGCCGACGTTTGGCCACACTCCTGGTGCACAGGTGCCAATCACTTGAGTGATTAGATGCTCAAGAATGAATGGCGTACAATTGGGCCTATGGGGATCCCATAGGCGATGTGGAAAATGTTTTGATTAGGTCGATGATATAGAAGTCATCAACACCAAATAACATCAACTTATTAGTCGCGTAGCCTCCTGCTGAAGCAGGCAGTCGGTTAGTCTGGCGCCTACCTAACCAATTTCCTGCTTCAGCAGGATGCGGCATAGTTACTGTTATCAGGAGTCACCTTGGAGGAAAATCAGTCTGTATACGCGATTTCGCTACAAAAAACATTTTCTGGTGGTAAAATCTTTTTATCGTTCTTTCAAACTGCCATGTTTCTTATCATCCCTTCAAAACTTCTGTTGCTGCGAACATCGCAGACGCCACTTCGACTTTTGTCCATCGTGACGCCGAATGACATCAGTTTACTACCCGCGACGTCAATCTCTAAGTTACATTTGCAAAGTGGAGTGTTGTGGTGCGGCAGCCTCGCTTTGAGCT